CCAACGGCGAGCCACGAAATCAGTTCGGGGACTGAAACTCAAACCTTATGAAGAGCGCCTCCAATCACTTAACCTTTATCCATCGGAGTATAGGAGTCTTAGAGGTGACCTTCTGATAGCATACTGTATCCTTAACACTTCTGGACATCCCCTTAAACACCTGCTCAAGCTTAGTCCCAATACAAACCTAAGGGGTAACACCCAGAAATTGGAGATACAACATGGCGGAATGAACTGTAGACACAATTTCTACTCCTTAAGAGTCGTCAAATGCTGGAATTCCCTGCTGACTGAACTAGTCCAAGCGACTTCCCAGGAGTTTTCTAAGAGGAAACTTTACCTATTCTTAAGGACTAAGGATAATATCTTATTATGAGTTACCAATTTCTTTTCTTGTAATCTATCATAGTTAATATACCCAGGTTCCTGTCAGGAGGTATTGGTGATCCCCTGCTACTAGACACGGAAGCCTGTTAAGCGAAAGCTTCTTCTATTCTGTCCACAACCATTTGAACCATTTTAGCTTATTAAATAATACTAAACAGATTTTAAGTGCAGGACCATCTTTGATTACCATGTGCAATGAATACTTTTAAAAAATACTACAGTAAAAGTACCATTTAATCAATTATTTCGAATATTCGTAATCCACTGAGATCTGGTACTGGCATAATTTGACTATTTACATTATTATTTTGCTAGCTGTTAGACCTTTCAAAACATCTGGATCGAACTTCTTACACTGATTTCTTACGATCAAGGCAAATTCAATTTATTTCACTCCACCTTGTTCCGATAATTGATGTTCTTACTCCAATAGAATTACGATTTTAATTAAAAACGAGTCAGGGCGATATTATGAGTGTATTTGTTGACACAGCATACGATGGACCTTATAATCCACTAGGAAGAAAACTTGGTTATTGTTTGAGTGATTAATTCCTTATGAATGAGCAGTGGCAGACCAACTGATTGCTCGTGTTAGGTTCATGAAAAGCATGCATTTGGTCACTGTGTATACGTTGATCATGAGTTTTGGAATGGTCGATGTAACGTCTGTTGTTTACCATCAGACGAATAGGTGCCGAGTAATCATTCTCAGTTGTTTCCAGTTACTATTTATTCCTCCGATGTGTTCCTTGATCTTCGATTTTTCCGTATCCTCCCAGGACTTCAAGTTAGGTCCTAATGGTTTCTGTAATGTATGTCCTATTCACTTCAAACGTCTTTCATAATTTCCTCTTCAACTGGATGCTGGTTTGCTTTATCCCAGAGTAGGCTGTCGTTGATTTTATCTGGCCAACGGGAATCGAGTATCCTGCGTAGGCAATTGTTTATATGTAGTTGCACATATTTCAATACAGTTGAAGTAATTCTCCACGTTTCAGATCCGTACAGTAGAAGTGTCTTGACGTTCGCACTAAAGATCCTGACCTTGGTGTTGGCTGACAGTTGTTTTGACTTCTATTTGTTCTTCTGTTGTAAAGAATGCCGCTCTTGCTTTTTCAGTTCCTGCCTTCATACCCGAATTCCAGACTCTACTTACAAAGATGTATGATTATTTTGTAGATTCCCGACATCCAATCAAATAACCATTAAAACTAAATTAGAACATATAAATAGGTGAATTTCTCTTTCGTATTGCAAAATACGTAAGTGTTGTTCTAAACAACAAAAATAATAAGTTTTTTGAAAAGCTCTCAGTGTTTATATCGACAGAATCAGGTCGAGAACGGCAGGTCAAACGCAAAATGAGAATGGGAAATTGAAGGTCGAAGTTATAAGTAATTGAAGTGAAACAGGTTTGTCAAAGCCCAGTGATAAAGAATAATCCTCACAATAATAGTTTACAGTGTGTTTAGCGCTTCAAGACCTTACTGTAATATATTTGTAAAGAGGCATCTATGCAAACAGTGTTATTCCACTTAAAACTTCATCAATGGGTACATGACTGTACAGTAATATTTATGTATAAATTAGTGGGTCAAGTAATGATTGAGTGATGACCTTTGAAGTCAACTACATAGTTAATGATAATAAACTATGTTTGAGTACAAAAGAAAAGCTAGACACCAGGTGTTGTAGTAGTGTTAAGAAATGTGGTTAGGGCGGAATGCCACTCAGCCTTATCCAGGTCGTTGATCAAAGCAAACCGCTTTTCCTTGGTGGCTGATCATAAAAATATTGATAGTTTCTTGAACTCTTTTGAGGTCCAGTGTAACAAATTGAGTTAAACGTTTGCACTCCATGAACGGCCTATTTGCCAGTGTCCCCACACTGCACTTTTCTAATCTACTGTAGTAGTAAATAATTCCCCAAAATAAATAGCTCTGTAAGTTTTCGACATTAGATGCCGACTACATTAGTTTTAATGGACTCACCTAGCTGGAGGCGCTCGGTCATGCATCCGCACGAGATCACGAGTGAGAACGCCGTGCTCAACATCCTCTGCAATCGCTGGCCAGATAAAATCCGTCGATCCTCGATACATTGATAACCTATCAAATATATCTTCGAACCGCTTCACTTCTGTCTTTTGATTTCTCTTGGTGGGCACGATTCATGTTAGGTGTTACTGGTTAAAGCATTGTCAAACTCCGAATGCTTGTGGCATTTTCGCTACTTTCATCAGTGTGCGCCATTGTTCTGGGAATATTCTGTTTGTTCTTTCAGTCACTAAAGCAGCTTCGTTACCACGATACCGATACAGGGCATCACGAGTTGCGTATTAACAGTGAGGTATGGTTTCACAGTGAGCTTGGAGTTTAAACCATTCTCGTCCAGCCTCATCAGTTCCACCACATACAAATTAGATCTATGCAATAATCGGACCACACGAAAATATTCGAAAACCAGAAGTTTATCAGAAATGGAAAAATGAAAATAGTAAAATTAAAATTGTGGCAATAAATAAGTGAACTTTTACTAAAAATAAATAATAAAGTAAAAAGACAGGAGGGTGAGTAAAATTTGATCAGACTTAGAAGGAGTCGCTACGGTCAAACATTAAAATTTCTTTAGGTTGGAAAGGGGATACAGGAATGACAAACTACATTTCAGTACCAAAACAAGAGCCGTTGCCGTGTATTACTACAGCTTTTGCCAAGTTAAAAGCACCGGATTGGAATTAATTTGGAATTCCATCCGATGGCTTTTTCTTTATATGACTCACAGCCACTATTCAATCTATGGTACGAAATGCTTTGCCTATTCCTAAGCCTTTGTGAACTACTAAAGGTCATCTGCACCTAATCTTTGGCTATGTTGCCTTGTAGCACAGCCGATGTATTTTTCATGGTTGTAGCAACCGATTTGGTAAACACACACCAAACTTACAAACTTTGATTTTTATTAAGTCTTAAATTTATGGACAAAAGACGACAAAAAATGCCAGCTGCCCAAGGCTTTTTTCAGATCCTATGACCATTTAATGACGTAGTGTACCGGGAGCTATATCTCACCTGAACTATAGTTTCAAAAAGAGTTTTCTTCCAGACCTCCATGTCCCCCAACCCATATATCCTGTATAAGTGCACCTCATTGAAGAGTTTTGAGATTACCGCGTTATTAAGTCTGAGCTCTGTATGCGAGATACATGCATTTTTATGAACGTTCTGTGGAACGTTCTAAATTGTCTAAAAATTTTGTGAATATTCAGGGTTTGATAGTGCTACTGTCGGTAGCACCTTCGTTTTGAGGATCACATACCCAGCCTAACTAGATGTCAGGAATTAAGGAGTTCGAGGTATGTTTTGAAAATCGATGATTTATAGAGGATTATATAAGCTATTCTGACTAGGGGTTGCGAGGGTATACTAATACGACATACCTAGTAGTGATCTGGAGCGGATGCTTGGTGTATCCAGTAAAGTTATTGGGTTCAAAGTCGGCGTTGGTGGCTAAGAGGACCATTCACTTTGGAGAATCATTTACCACTGTACGTCTTATTATATCATATTTCTTAAAGTTGGAGATGCCACAATTACCTGAAGTTTCACAACACCTTAACCGGTAACACCTTCTATAAACGAAACATGCTCACTGAGTGAAATCAGAAGCGAAGAGGTTGGAAGATAAGTTTGATAGTGTAGATCACCAACGTAGATGATCTATGTCGAAATGATTGGAGGCCGACTCGATTTAGACGTGAATAGTGTGACGAACCAACTAACATCGAAGTCACACCTCGTGGTCAGCACCTTACGTGGACTACCCCCATTGCCGTAACAAGGTACTATAGATGCTTTGAAGACTGTACAACACAAAGGACGTTATTACAGAAATATATTAGTTAAGGTAGATACAGGCGAAAGTAAGACCACTGCCGCATGGGCCAGTCCATGGCGTATGATTAACTAATGCGCGTTGCTTGTACATGACCTTGGCAGGGAGCGACGATCTGTTCGACATTCAGTGATCCAACTGCCGGATGATTTGGCTAGGGCTCAGTGACATTTCACTGGCCCTACAGTAGGTTATCAATATATCGAGAACTGACTAATCTAAACTTACTCGTGCTAGTGGGAGAAGTTCAGCATGGCGTTCCTACTCGTGATCTGGTGCATATGCGTGACCGAGCACCTTCAGCTACGTGAGTCCGCTAAAACTCGTGTGGTCAACATCAAATGTCGAAGACTTATGGAACTAATGATTTTGGGGACTTATTTACAGCTACAAAGTTCTTGGAATGACAGGCATTCAGTCAAGCAAATCCCTCGGTGATTTTCGCAGACCAAATACAACAACGTTGCTTACGAAAGGTTGTCAGTTAACATAATGAGCCGCGAAATTCTCTTAATTTGGGATAAAAATAATCTAATTATTATCACCAATCGTCAGAACTATTTGATCGTCATGTCAATGAGAGTGTATAAGTAGCCATATCTACGGATGGACATTTTTCTTTCTGACAACACAGCTATAAAGTGTAAAAGGATCTATTCAATCAGCAGTTTGTTTTTCTACACAAAATACCTTATTTCACATTTCAATGTTTTACCGACTTTGTGAAATATTTCGGACATAACGCTCAAAGTGATAAAATGTTGGTGATAGAATAAACCTTAAGTTACTTTAGTGTATTGAACTAGATCTGTGGTAGAAATTTTCATTTTCGATGACTAAAGTCGATGTATGCAAATGGTCACCAATAAGTTTTAACCGATTTTTGTCCCATGAAAACAATGTTAGAGATAACATACATGATTACAGATTTGGCTCCCAAAGTTCTGTTTCGAAGAATGCAGACTCATCGAAAAGTAGCAGATCATCTGAGTCCATAAATAAATCTATGTGTGAATGCAATATAGAAGAATCCAATTCAAAAAGGAGTCACATTAATAGCCAAAAAGTGGTTTCATCGTCTTCAGTTTCCGGCAGTAAGTCATATTCATTCGATTGTTTTCTAATTTTTGAACGCTTAAAAATTTTTATAACCTCAAAAAACAGATCGGTTTTAATTTGTGCTTGGTTTGGTTGTAGTAACATAATTCATCTCACAGACCAACTGACAGAATCCATCACGATAACTAACCCACATTGTGCAATGCTTTAAGCATCACAGACCCATTATAAAATTAGTGATGGTCATATTTGTAATGTTATGCAGCTTAAAGGAAGTACAACATAGTTTTGAGTGTCTGATAAGCGAATAGTGTTAAAAACCAATGAACAACCTATATATTTTGTTTGTAAGGGGTTGTGTCAAACGCCCGTTGCAGCTTTTTGAGGAAAAGTGGTCACCAACGAAAGAATTTTTACTTGATGACAGACATAAATTATTATCATATTTCATATTTCATGTCACGGTCTCTCAAAAAGCACGATAATAATTTAAGTGATAGCAATAAAATACATTGTTTCTGAAATCCTTTTATTCAAAAGGCATTATTTCTGAGTCAATACCAAAGTATAAATGGGTTTAAACAGATACGTTGGCCACCCAGTGTAAAATGCACGTCAAATTTGGAGATTATTATATGAAAATATTTACAATCAAGAATTTCAAGTGACAAAATATTCGAAAATGCGAAATTCCGTTAACCCTCACACCACAGTAGCATCTAGATAATATGCTGTTTTCTGTCCACATACCTAGGTTTTATAAAGCCGAAGGGTCTTTCTTGAGTATCTTGAAGAGAATCAGAGTTCACCTGTCAAAATAAAAGGTTTGTTTTGTTTCATGTTAGATACTACATCAAGAAGTTACACTCAATGCAGCCTTCAACGGTTTTTATAAATCTCTAGCATGAAGTCCAGACATCAACTGATTTTCTGCAAATTGTGACGTTTAATGATTAAAATTGTTGTTATATTACTGACTGTATGTGTAAAATAGGAGCAGATGTCATTAAGATAGAAAATAGTTTTCTAACTCACTGAGTAGTAATAAATACATGTCTGCTATATCTCAACAAGTAAAAAATGTATTTTTAATCGCTGAGATATGACAAAAAATATATTTATCATTAAATTTCCACCTAACACTCAATTTATTTGAATCCAACAAGTCCAAATTCAGTAATGATGCCTACAAACCCATAGTGTGGCGATTTGTGGGGTATGTGAGTAATGTTTTCTCTTTTTTTAACATACAAAAGCCATATTAGTATATTTTTAAGCCTAACGATAGTGGCTAGTGATTCGAAGGTGAATATCAGTATGCGGTTGTGGAGATTATGGAGTTTTTGATTGAAATCATAAACCGATTGACACTACACCACCATCAAACACCTGGAATCACTAAAAAGCCATTTCGTTCAATTGTGGGACTCCTCAGCAGTGCTCATCTACTATCCCGCTCGCGGGATTCTATCCAAGTGCCTTCGGTCTTGCGCATGAATGCTTAAACTCTAGATCACTGAGCCGGCATCTGGCGGTGTTCATGTCTAACCTCAATCAATCCGTGAAATTGAGAGACCGTCTCCTATTGTACTGAAGTAAATACCTTTTCCTAGTCGATACACATTAGCTCCACTGGTCACGGCCCCTCACTAGAACCCCAAGACTTCCCTCACGAAGTTAGTCACTAGTAAGCACATGGTAATTATCAATATGGGATTGAGAAGGTTATAATGTTTTTGATTGAAATCATGAACCGAATGATCATGGATGCGCACTGCTGGTGAGTCCTATAATGGGACGAAACGGCTGTCCAGTACTTCCAGGTTTCAATTGCAGTCTAACATCAATCGGTTCATGGTCTCATTCAGAAGGTGAAGTTGACGTCGTTAAAAATGTCTCGTAATCGCTCACTGCCCCGTGGGTGCATTTGCTCCTTATTGGCAATTGAATTCTTGCTTTAAAAGATAGTTTTTATTTAATTTTTATCTGATATATTTTTTTTTATCAATTTGTGCTCTCTGTGAGTAATTGTTTATACTATAACTAATGCTATTGCTGCTTTGGTATTTGTCTTTATAATTTCATCAGTTTGAGAATATTCGGTTTACCAACTTGTGATGATGCATGTTTGTGCCAGGTTATATATTATCTGTGACTGACTGACTGACTGGAAAGGTGAGGAGAATTTACTCCGTTTCAGAAACCTTATCATAAATTGCAAATGTGTCACTCCCTCTATACAAAACAATACTTAGATCACTTGGTAATTCCCATTTGTTCACCTGAGTCTGTTTTAATATTTCCTATGAGAAATTTTAATAGGTTTTCAACATTACTAAGCCGTGAAGTTCAAACAAATAGTGTCAAAAGAAACTAGAATGTCATAAGATCCTAGCATGTCAGAACCTAGTTACGTCAATATAACACTTACGTGTTCGCAAGAAATTCTTGGTTTTACCTGATTTCATATTCTTTTTCACATGAGGTCATTCATTTTGAATTTAAATCAAAGATTGTAACCTGAATAACTAAATAACCTTAGCATAAGATTTTTGTATCTTCATTTATTCTTCCAATTCAAAGGCTGATTTTGAAACGCGAGGCCAAACAAATGCTTTGTACCTCATCATACTGGTACTAATTAGGCAATAAGTAGGTGCTTGGCGTGTAACAAGGCATCCAAAGCTGAGAACCAGGCAATGAAATATCCCTGATTCATCCAAACAACACAAACGAATAAACAACCCTTAGGCTCGAATACACTACGATGCTAGTAAACAAACAATAAATCCTTACTTCGCAGTTTCAGTAATCTATATTTGACGGCGATGTGGTTGGAAAAGTTTGTAGTCTTGCCTAATTTCACAAAACTTGGCAGCGATTTTTTAAGTTCTCAACGGGTAGAAACTTATTCAGCTATTGAGCAAGTAGTAACATAATTAAATCAATATGATACATCATATTTAAACGTAATGCCAATATTATATTTGTTTGGTCTAAAATGGGCTCTTTACTCGTAAAATAGACGTATAGTAAGCATTTTAGTCCTTTAGTCTGTTCAAAGAAAATGGTGATATATTGAGGAAAAATCAATTAATGTTTCTCCATTTTTGAAGAGTGTACAATATTTAGGTTAATCAATAACAATATTTCGAAACTCAGTTGAATAAATACTCATGTATATATATCTATATGTGTATACGTGTATATTTATATTGGTTTTCTTAAATATATATATGCATCGCATACCTGAGTAAATACTTGTCGCTTATAAACCCAGTTTTTTATTCTTTTGTATTTATTCTATTGTATTTTTGAAGAGATGTTTCAGTCAACATTATCATGTTATTTCTCTTGTCATTTTCTGAATTTCTAAAGTTTTTTACCTCACAAGAGAAAATCAAAGGGAAGGAAATTGGAGTGTAATAAGTTGAGAAACACTTGCAGCATAGTTGTAAGGTATTGTCGACTCGTATCGCTTCATGATATTGAAGTTAACTTACGTTTTATTCTTAATGAATATTCCTTAAGAAATAGTGAAGGGAATGAATCACAAAATGTCAAATCAACTGAAAAATTTGTACTATGCGATTGCTCTTTAAATAAAATAATTATTATTGTTTGAATATCAAATGATCACTATGCATACACATAATCTATTTTAAGTGTTCATATTTTTATTACTCAAGGCCAAAACATGCAGAATTCTAAAACGTAGTCACTCGATGAATCATACATACATCCTTAGCCATTTATTTTGGTACAAGTGAAATCAGATATGCAAATTTGGTTGAGATGTTTTTTCAGTTAACATTATTACTTTTGTTCGCAGCTACAGAAGCACTTGAAACACTTACCTCAGTAATCTAAATAAAAGGAGTAGCATACTTATTTTGATTCATATCTTAAGTTCAGATCCTAGTTCCCAGAAGAGTCGGTTTGTGGCGGTCATAAGTTATTTGCATGTTCAGCCTTCAAAAACAGTTTCTTGTTCGTTCTACAAAACTACTAAGTTCTCCTATATACTCTTTCTTACTTCTTTTGCTTCATAATTTTTTGTTTATATTATAAGTTGTTTTGAAATTGTAATTGTTACGTTGGTCAACTTGAGATTTGTGTGTTTGCTCTTCTATTCTGACCACTTTTATTCTAGTCAATTATCACGTAAATATGGCCATCATATCATATGTTCATTATCTATATTTTGCGGGTATAATTTTATTTTTGAATACAAATATTTTAGGTTTGGAAGTGAGATGAGACAGGAAATATCAGGGAGATATAACAAGCACTGAAACTAACAGCTGTGAGTTCAGGTAAATGCAATGGGTAGCATACAAGCTAAGTCTTTTGGAGTCGGTAAAAAAATCTAAAAAAGAATTGATGAGTGAATGCAAAAACATATGACAGGATCACTAAGTTAAGAGTGGTTTCTGATGTGGTCAGATAATGATTGTCTCTCTTTAGTACAAAGATACAAATTAAATGGTCCGATAGAGAATGTGTAATGAAGAAGTGATATGGCTATCCTTTTCAATTTATTACTTTGAGTGCAGTAGTAGTAATGCATCATAGTTTCCTTAAAACTCTGGACCAGATCTCGATGTGACTAGATGACACATAATTACATGAATAGATACATACGAATCCTTCAGGACCAGACTATTAAAAATACACTTTTGTTACGTGGACCTCTGAGTTCATCTCAACCAGTTATCTTTTAGTATGTGCTTTAAGAAAATATTTTTTATAATGGATATAAAGTTATGTAGCGGGATTCGAAACCGAGATTCGTATATCACTTATCAGATAGGGCCTGTTACTGCATAATTCACAGCTCAAAAAGCTAAAACAAACATTTAGAGAAACAGTTAAATACTTTATCTGCAAAAACTGATATCTTTAAGAGACTATAATTATTTTGGATGATTTGATGTACACATACATTAATTTTATGTTAGATGTTAGATGTTTAGCGTTTACGGTTAGCTCTTAAGATATTTCATTGAATAATCTCTTTGTAATAACTTTTTTTGCAATATTATCCATCATTATGATAACTTCCATTTATTTAACAGATAAAATTGCCAAATCAGTATTTATATTAAAAGATACAAGAAGTCATCAGTCAAATAAAAGGGCAACTTTGGAACGAAATGAAATTTCAGACATCACGACACATGAAGATTTGATAAAAGCCAAATCCACGGAAGAATTAAAAAGAAACATTTCGGTCAAAAATGAGATAAAAATTACCAATAAAACTAAAAGTAATCAACTTAAATCTTTATCATCTCAAAAATCAGATGTATACTGTATTGCAGATTCCAACGACACTTTGAATCAATTGAATCAAAAGAAAAATTATAAAATGGTTAGTAAACTGTCGTTTCCAGAAACAAGAAATACAGAACATGAAATGCACATAAGTACTGATAACACTGATTCTAAACCCACCAATCATAGTGATAAGAATTCTTCCATATTACATAAAACTAGTAATAATTTTCATCAGTTTACAAATAGTAATGGTGAGAAAACGAAAAGTAATAAATCTACTAAACGGAAAAGTTATTTGAAACAAAACGCAACTCTCTTACCAAATGTACTGAGAGCAGTTGACTTTATACTGCCTACTGACGAATCAATCATTCGTCCTAATAAGTTACCACATACAGGAGTGAGTTGATAAATACATCTTATATATGTTGTTATTATTCATTTAATGTTCTGAAGTTTCACGAAGACAAACAATATTATTTGCATTATATTTATGAATTATATAGGTACATCTAAGGGCTGTTTTATCTGAAAATATGTTGAATTACATTTTGATATCATTATAAATACGCGTATTTACATATAGAATGAAAATGTAAATAATAAGTTGTGAAAAACGCTCCAGGTTTCTTGGTTAGAGCAATAAATTACCAATTACAATTTGTTTGTTTAATATAACTTGTTGTTACTACACCATTCTTAAGTAGGATATGCTAACATTTATTATTAACTATGAATAGCACTTGGCAACAGTTGGAAAGAAGAGCATAGGACAGAGTAGATTGAGGATTCCTGGTCGGACCCTATACTCCGCAAGGAGTAACAGGAGTAAGTTAGTGATTATACACTTAACAGTTTTGCATTCACAGTTTTAGAGTCACACTTATAATTTGGGCTTAAAAACAAAGAAAAGTTCTGCCACTCAATATTTTTAATATTTTAGATCATTGCTACATCAGCGAAATACGAGTAATGAGAAAATGAACAAATTTTGAATGCACACAGATTTTATTTTCTGACCTACTGGAAACTTTTGTATGATTAATTTTCTAAGCTACTATATGCAACAGTTATAGAATTCACGTAACCATCAGTAGTCTGAAAAGTGAAGGAAATGAGAAACTGAAATGACAGCATTAACTTGGATAGTGATTCTGCGATAGATAATTTATTTGTTTTGAAAAAAACATTATTGGTGATAAATTCGAAGTAATAAATTATTCACTTTATAAAAAATCTCAATCACAGTCTATGAGTAATGAATTTTACTGATATCCATTTAGTTTGCTATTACTATCTTTGAATTAGAAATAAACAAAATAATCACTGAAATTTAATTCACAATTCAATTAATGAATAATTAAAACTAAGTGATTCTGTATTTTATAAAATGGTTAAGAGATTAAAGAAAAACACAACAGCTTCTAATATAATCACTCATGACTCTGTTGGCAAAGAGGGAAAAGATGAAAATTGATGACTTGACTATGAAGAAGTAGTGGGTGAGACCTTCAAAAGTTATTGATTAAAATTCACATTATTAAATAAAATCCACGAAATGTTGTTAAATGCTTATTCAAAAAATTAGTTGTTTCGACCAACTTCACCATCATTTAATTAACACGAAACATGACTTATGTCGTTAAGTGAAAAGTTAAGGGTTTTTCATCTTAGACTTATTACATAATTCTGAGTACAGAATACTGTACACTTTTTTAAACATATTAGTTTCTTACATTTCTTCCTTGCAGTTTACTCTATTTATTTATTAAGAAGTCTAAGTGTTAAATATCACACACATGTACTTGTTATTCTCTGAAATCAGTGTATAACGCCCTATATAATGATGGAAAATGATGTGTGTCCATGCGAGGTAGCTGGTCAACTAGAAAAGCATTTAAAACCGATTAGAGCATTCTGCACAAAGAAAATCGTTCTCTTATTAATTGAGTTGACTGACTTACATTCTTTTTTATCATATCTTAAATGAAGTGTTTAGAACTATTTACGAGTAAAACCTTGTTTTACAAACAGAATGACGTAATTTCTATCAAATTGTGTGCTGATAGGCTTTGACAACAATTGCAACAGTTTTTTATGTAGTTATTATCATACAATGAAGTCACTTAACTATAGTACATCATAAAAAGTAGATATATTTTAATTCGTCATAATCACGAAGCATTTAGAAGTAAAGTGATAGACTCAAAATGTTAACTTATTAAAATAATTTCAAACTGCTGTACAGTGCACTACCAAATATAACTAAACAATTTTGTTCAGTCAGAATGTATTAAACAACAGTTTCAAAACATGCTTCATTCTCAATTTTTTTATCTTAAGTGGACTATGAGCCATGAATGTTTCACTATCACTAGGTATGAGTTGTTACTTCATTAAAGATAATTTGTTAAAAAATAAAATAAAATAAAAATTGTGAAATACTGTATTTTGAAATCATAAAATATGAAATTGACACTTTTGATATTTGGCAGTTCTAGTCAAAAGTAAATAACTGACAGGTGTCACATGTTTTGTAAACAGTTAAATCGTATTAAGTAGATCATAAATATTTTGATGTAAGCACTTTAGCATCTTACATAATAGTTTAGAAAGTTAGAAAATTAGGCTTAATACATTTGATGTAATAAAGAATTTCATCGATAAACATACCGGCCCTCAATGTCATGAAGCCTAATGCATTGCTCTATTGAAGATTATTTATTCCCACTTTAGATGTGCTACAATGATATGGTACATAAATATTTACCTGACTAGTTTTAATCGGATAAAATTTGACTCTCTTTCTACAGAACTGATCTAAAATCATTTGTGTCACTTTGTATTATGTACTTAAAAAGAAAAAATAACAAATTAAAATGTTGCCATGTTTAAAGAAAGTTTTATGAAGAAAAGTGTGAAAATGTTGTAGATTTTACTCAGAAAAGAAAAAAAATAGCGAAGCCTACGTAAAAAAAATCGCACTTCACTGTTGCAATAAATTTTTTGCAGTGCATTCTGTCATATAATATTGAAAAATACATCAATAAATGCTAAACCACCCATAAAAACATTAATCAACTAAACACTCATAAATTTCTACCCTTTTTTGATGAGCGGTTTTTTTACCTTTATTAAAATATTTCAAGAAACTATAAAATATGTTAATAATTTGGTAGTTATGTTTCAAGTAAATAACATAGTTCATCTACTTATCCACAAAATAATATCATAATTTGTGATAGCTACGTTGATACATTTACAATGTGATATGAAGTTTTTAAAATGACTGTTAGTACAGGAACTTTTAAGAGAGCATATTTTTATTTCTTAAAGATGTGGTCAAACTGGTTTCTATACTTGATGGTATAAAAATAGTTTCTTTTTAATGTCTGACCACTTCAATATTCTTTGCTTCATATCAAAACGAAGGTTGATATCAAGTGCTTTTAATCATGAGCTGATGTTCCACTGACATTTCTGGACATCATTATCTAAAGGAGAGTTCTGAGTAGTCGTTGCTCAATAATGGAATTCCCTATCATTTCTAGTCATAACGTCCCAGTGGAAATATCCATGATGATCATCTACACGATCAAACGATTAACCTAGAAAGGAAAAGAAATCAATAGTAATAATCACTCTACTTAATGTCGAAAATCTTGGTACAGTAAAATGTTCCAACTACCAGTTGTTTAATACTGCAGCAAATACCGCTCAAAATCTTCCACCTGCATTCAATCATCAAAATTGTCTAACAGTTCAGTTGATACATACTTTTCTGTGGATTATGCTTGAATTTTAACTATTTTTACAACGTTCTATCAAAGGATAGATAACAATGAAATTATGTCAAGTGAAATTGTTTCTGCTTGAGTTTTTCGGCATTAAGTATCATAAATATTAGTAACGTTTTCTGACAGTGTATCAGTACATACTGTTAACGCTTGCAATGATTCAATTAAACCAAATCTGCAATAGGTCCTTTAATTGTGATATATGTACAGATAAGAGAAAAGTGGCCCTGACATCTAAGTAAGACGCTATGTATTTTTGTTCTCACATGTCCGTAGTTTCCCGTTTCATTTCAGTAAAACGATAACACTCCGTTTTAGTGTCAAATTTATTTTTTTATACAACTTATCAAATAGTGAACAGATCTAACAAACGTTTGCGGAGTTTGTCGAGAATGCCAACTTTGAGTTATCATTGTTTACTGTAGTGGCGTTAGCAACTCAGTCGTTCAATATTGAACTCTTTACTTGAAAGCAGGATAAATAAGTTCTCATTCTACTACGATCCCAGCACTTAAATTTTTCAACATTTTGATATTCGGTAAGCTAGCTACTGATACATATCTCCAGTTTTTCAATATGTTTGTTATTAACACCTTTGAGGTTTCTTTGTTTTTTTTTTTCACACCGTTTTCATATTTGTCAAATTGGCAAATATCGTTCATGAATTTGTTTTCGTTTTATTACATTTCTTCAACCTCTTGATCGTTAACCAACTCTCTTGAGACATTTACACTGACCGACTACTTCATGTAATTCATTCTCTTTTTAAAAAGACTATTATAATTGTTAGATCACTATGAATATATTTATGTAGCCTCAGTATACAATATCGTTGAGAGGAAAACTTTCTTTGTTGAATTGTCTTTTAAGTCTTTTTCCACTACAGTTGTTGATTTATTCTACATTTTTCTTTTTTCGGAAATGATTAGACTTTTAAATTTGTAATCATGTTGTTAAGACCATACCAAATGACTGTAAAGCTTTTTTTTTACAAAAAAGCTTAGGATTTTTACAATGTTATTGAGTTAAACATTTATCAGGTAAAATTCAAAGGAACTAGTAAACCACTATAGCAGCAACTTGTTACTGAGGTTCGTTTTTTGAGAAATACTATCTGTAGTGAACATAACGTGTTTTCACTCAATAAATACAGTAAGTCTAGGCAGTAACAATAAATAGCTGATTTACTCAACAATGCATTAGTAATAAGTTAGCCGTTTTACTATTATACATAGTTCAAACACTCCTAACACAACGCCTCATTTCCAATAAACTTCTTATTATAGGTTAGAGTGATAAGTAACCAACTGGAGGGTTATAGATCTAATACAAAGTGTCTAATTTATATAGTGCCAAACTTAAAAATGTGTAGTTTAAAGCCAAGTCTATAAAATACCAATTATCATTTTTGTTATCATTATATAAAAGACACAATTATTAAGGTAGTACTTTGTATAAAGGCATACTTAAGAAAGGTCATCCAAATTCAGATCAATAAATCAACAGTAAAATGATAATGAAATAAATCCTATCAATAATATAATACTGAATATATTTCTTTTAACTATGTTATGATATGATTCAAATAAAAAAAGAGAAGATAATGAACTTATTACCAACAAAATTATCACATAGAGATCACGTGTAAAAAAAACAACTCATCATTAAAGGTTACTTTCGTAAAATTCAACATATTCATTAACCTAAATTAATGTTTGCTGGCTGATCAGTGTAATTATTGATGAAATTGAATAATAAATTATAAGATTGGGTCTTTCAGAAATAATTGATACTCAATTTCTTTAATTCACAGTTTACATTATTGATTTATAAAAATAATAGTAATGCTGATATTTATTATAATAAAAGATATGTATCAAATATGTAATTCATTCATTTAATTATTGCAGTAATAATTCAGTTGAAGCAAATATTTGTAAACAATTAATCAAACGGTCATATATCATATATAGACAAATTTCTTTTGACAAACTCTTTTAACTTTTGTTGTAAAATGTGTTTACTGTTTAGTAAGATTAACAAGCAATCAATTTTATATCAAAATGGAGTGATATCGTTTCAGTGAAACAGAAAAGAAAACTATAGATATAATGCAGAAATTCTTAATTTCATTGTTTCGTACTCGCATAAGATTATTTAGAACAGTAAAATCGTCTTTCGTATGTAAAGTATTGTGAATTACAAGTAAATGCCAGGAGTACATGCACATTGTATTTTGGGATATTGATAAAGATTTGTAGCTCAGGTGGATGATATTAGGAGTAATTTCATTCCCTGACCCAGCTGTTTTTAATAATTAAGCTACTCAGCTCTGTGAAGGAAAATTTAACCGAAAAAATTTGTATTTTAACCATCCTGACTAATGAGAATATGATTTGGAGTACTATGGTTTTAAGTTATTTGCTCCTTAATCATAACGCTTTTTAACAATAGGTGTATTTGATTGGTCCTCACAAAGAAAATATACTATGAATAGTTGTAGCATTATTAAATATATTTGATCATACTTTTACTCCGTGTACTATTAAATAAGGTTATCCTACTATTGTATTACTAGAAACTTTTACCTGAATGAATAACCATTGTAAAGAAAAAATATTTTCTACAACCTAGAATGAAATTAATTTACTGCGTGATCATTGTTTGCCAGATTTGGTATGTTACATCGGTCCTCAATATGAACAATAAACTAGTTTCATTTAAGTCAATGTTTAATTTAATTACAATATATCACTATCATAGGAAATGGATTAAAGTTCGCCAAAGATCACGGGACTTTAACTAGCTAGTCACAGGTAAAATAATATCATCTTAAGTAAGATAGAAGTAAGTGGAAACTTTTCTATAGTGTAATGTATTATCATAGAAATTATAGAAACATGTATTTTTAATCAGCAGTCTGAACGAATAGCTCTAGGTCCAAGAACTAAGAATCATGGAGTCAACCCTATACTGAGTTGTAGGTACTCTTGTTTAAAGGCTTAAAAGTAAAATAGAGCGGTCAGTCGTTGACCTCTACATCTCAACAGCCGTTTAGTTCATATCGTTCTGTTATGGGAAGTAACTTAAAGTTACGTTCTTGTTTGATTAACAGCTATAAGACACTGATTGAATCTTAGATCATAAATGATCGTATAAGCGTTATATTTTCATTTTAAAACAATAAATTCCAGACATTTTATGACTGATATGCATGAGTAAATAGATGATGTTCAACTGGTTGACAAATTTAAACTCAAATACCATTACAGAAAAACCAGCCGAATCACTACAAACACTTATCGATATGAGATATAAAAACAATTTTATGACCTTTCGGTAATTGAGTCTAACATTTCAAAATTAAAATTAATTACATGGATATCCGTAGAATTTTCAAATGACAGGATTTGAAGTAACTGAACTCTGAATGTTAATAATTTAATGAATAGCATAACAAACTATACAAAAACATATTGTTACGCATTCAATATTACTATGTTTATGAACAAATTACTAAACCGTTTACAATTTTAATAATTAATTAATGTCAGTATAGTTTGTGGAGATTTCAAATTTTCAATTCACTGGCTGACCTTAGGGAATCATTGAAAAACAGAAAATACTGGACAGCTGTTTTTTCGCAGTGGGGGACACCTCAGCAATAGCCATCCACGACCCCCTCTTGGATCTAGCTCAAGACTTTCAGGTCTCACAGTGGTCGTTTACCATTTAGACCATTTGTTTGGCATCTAATGGTTTACATGTCTAGCTTCAAATAATCTGTGATGTTAACGACTCAGTAATTTACAAGATAAGCACTTGCCTTGAAACCTAAAGGTTTTGAGTTCATTTCCAAGTGTGACCGTGGATGCCTAGTGCTGAGGAGCCTTATACTGGAACGAGGCGCGTTTCTGATACTTTCATTTTTTCAAGTAACTAAGGTTAGTTTACTGCGTAAACTATCAAATTAACTTATAATAACACATAAAGCTAGTCATGCAAAATATTAGTAAATTATGTTAACTTAACAACTGTTCATTTTCTTAACTCATAAGAAAAGTAAATAGAATAATTTTAAACTGATTGACGGTTTACTTTAGTGAATGTTTGGATAAATGGTAAGATAAAATATTACTCAATAGTAACATTGAATATTTTCTTATTTTAATGATACAATAATAATGTTTTATTTTATTATTTATTAGAGAGGAGTGAAAACTTTATCAGCTTCATGGAAGCCAACAATGTTATATAATGAAGAAAAAGGAAAACGACCAATTAATCGAAAACAACGAAGAGACTCCATGGTAAGTATGATAATCTCATGATATAAGCTGAAAAAGAAAATAACAATAAGATTTATTATCGATAACATAAAAACTACTATTTAACAAAATACGTTATAAATAGGTTAAGATTATTACAGTTTACACAACATTACAAATTCCTTACCATTAATTGATTTCATCATAAAATAGCTATCGTATTCATTTTTAAGTTGATAAACAACATATTTCGTTATGTTTATCACATATGGAGAATAACCATTATTATACAATAATATTCTATTGGAAAGGAATAATCAATTAATGGTAATTCACAATGAAATTATAATGTTTATTTGAATGTGAAAATTCACTTCAAAAATATAGAACGGTTGTGTAGCTAATGTTCTATTTCATTGTTTTATTAACACTATGATTTCAGTTGTTTAATTAAAGTATTTTAAGTCTAAGAAGTAAAAAAGATGTGGTTACGTAGAATGTATTTATGTTCCAATACACAGTAGGTAGGTATCCACTTTATTGTTTCCAGTGATATAGTGCATTTTATAAAAAATGAAAATATTCAAAACTAAGTGTGTGTAAATTTCTTTATTTCAAATGTTTATAGCATTGTTTTGAAAAGATGATTATACAAGATATCTTCAATATAGTTATCAGTCAACACTCATATGTGAATATGTTTCTTAACAACTCGTTACTCAATGTTACCTTGACATTATTAAACTCTAAACTATTCTAAAGATCTCTTCTAAAAGCCGTTGTTTGTATGGGAAAACAAGAGATTTGAGACTTAAAAGAAAACAGTGATTTATTTTGAACTTATTTTCGAACCTTCATGACTGAAATTCATTAAGGTAGGGGGGCGCGAATCCTGGATTTCACTATTAGACACATATGTAATCAAATTATGTTGGTGTTAGCTAGTTTATTGGTGATGTATAATGTTTAGTAATAAATGGAAATTTAACATCAATGTTTCATCTTTATCTAAATCGTACTGTACAACATTCGCTGGACTCAGGATAAACAGAAGTCCTAGTAACTCTTATTTAACTTCAATTTCTTTTTTACAATTCTAAGCAACGAGTACAATTGAAGTTAATTATCAATATATGAAATAGCTTTAAGTAGATATGATTTAAACAAGACATTTTTTAAAAGATTCTCAAGTGTTTAGCACATCATTTCAGTGATAAGTTTATTTTTAAAACCATATATGTCTTTGTTTGAAGACTTCGGAAATTTTAGAAAGATTATGAAAATCTTAAAAACTGTTTTATTTCAAAGGTAAGATTTTACAGAAAAATGTGAAAAAGACGGAAATATTATAATTTAAATGAACGATTAACACTGAAATAAACAGGAACTATAGTAATAAAATTATTTTACTGGAAGTAATAAGGAAGTTCAACTACTGTTACGAATAAATTATTTAGCAATCGTACAGTTTTATACGTGTGATGATGAACGAAATCGATTAATTATTCGGAGAAAATATGGTAAATTACCTGTATTAAAAAAACTAGCTAAAAAAATTTAGGTCACGGACTGATCTGCGTTGAGAATCCGTAAGCCCTCAACAGCCGTTTCTTTGCAATGTCAGACTCCTTGACAGTGCGGATCAACAACCCCATATGGGGTTGGACCCAGGACCTCCAAGCCTCTTGGCAAGCCCTTAATCTCTAGACTATTCAGCTGGAATCCAATGATTTGTGTGTTTAGCTTTATTCGGTTTGAGATATTCAACAACTATTTCACGTTACCTGCAGTGAGTGAGGACATGATTATTAATAGCTATAGGAGTTTATTTAACGAAGACTAGTCTGTGATGAAAACAACTAACTTCAACAATTTCCAAAAGCTTTCTATAGTAATAGATAATAATGTGCCCACAAGTGATTAACTTCTAGGAGTTTGTAAATATCACAGTATGAAACTTATATTAGTAGTTATAAATAAATTGTATATAGTTAACGACACAAACTGAAGTTCAAACTGTTTATTTTGTGTCCCATACAAATGATTATATAAAT